TGACAGAGTGAGACCTTGTCTCAAAAAGAAAAAAAGCAAGAAACATACAAATCTGAAAAGGCATATTCCTGATAACAAGATGAAAACAAGAAGGACTTAACAGGTTATATTTACACTAAGAATGTAAAATGGCCAGATCAGATCAGCTCACTTAAAAAGTCCTTCCTGGCTGGGATTACAGGCACGAGCCTGTAATCTTTGGGAGGCCGAGGTGGGAAGATCACTTGAACTCAGGAGTTAGAGACCAGCCTGGGCAACATAGCTAGACCTTGTTTCTACAAAACAAGTTAAAAATTAGCCAGGTGTGGTGGTGCCTGCTGTAGTCCCAGCTACACGCTGAGGTGGATGGATCACTTGAGCTGGGGAGGTGGAGGTTGCAGGGAGCTGTGATTATGCCATTGCACTCCAGCCTGGGTGACAGAGCAAGACCCTGTCTCAAAAAAAAAAAAAAAAAAATTCCTTCCCTTGAACAAAAAACTATTGTTTAGATGTCATAATTCCTTATGAAATGGATGCTTCTACATAACTGAATGAGATTCTCTGGGAGTTTACGTGTTTCTAAGTGCGGAAGACTTTTAGACATGAACATAGGATTTATGTTTCTTCACTAACAATATATCCTTAACTCTTGGTGCTGGACACAGAAAATTTCTGGAATAAAGTGTATTTGCAGAATTTGACAACAATCAGTTAAGCATGCCAGACACGGGAGCAGAAATGAGTTAATAAAATACTCTTAATTTTTCTTGATAGGAATATCACTGATAGTGCCTTTTTGCCTAACAGTGATAGCCCTATGCTATTATTTTATATGAGTTCCTTGTTAGCAAACTAAAAGTACTTTTAAATATTCTGCATCATTTTTGATGTCCAGAATAAAAGGCACCTACTACCATGCTGTAAAATTTATAATTTTAAGTATATATTTACAAATACATGTATATACATATATGTATATATGTATGTATGTCAAGTTTAGTTGGGTAAATATCCCAAAGTAAATTCAGCTCAGTTATTGAGGGGTTTGTTTTGCTTTGTTGTTTTGTAAGAGATATGAAATGATATTAACTGAAAGACAATCTTCCTGCTCTTGTGTTTACAAACCAACCTGATTACGACGCACTGACTAGTTTTGGGCTGCACAATTTCATAGAGGCTATGGATACGAATGTTTGCAAGAGAAGACTGGCAATGAGCTATTTAGACAACACACCCCGGAGGATCGGCTTGGGTCCTGAGATGATTTAGACAGGAGGAGAAAAGGATAAGGAATGGTGATATAGCAAAGGACAGCAGACAATTATCCGAGGGCGTTACTGATGAGGATGGCAATTCCTTGTCATTGGTCCACTGTTTGCTATGTATTGGAATTTGTATGTAATCTTCTCTAGCTTGCTTTAAAAATAGAATCATCAATGCCTCATGAGACAGACAAAGGAGAGCCTGCCGTGGAATCTAGAGATAAACCTGAATGACCTTTCAAGGTTCCCTTTCTACACCAATGTGAAAACACAGAATAAGATACCAGCATTACTCAACAGACCTGGTTACAATAAGTATGAATTACAATGCAGGAACATATGTCATTTCTTACACAAACAGTGAGGCAGGCTATCTGATATTGCTTTAAGAAATTATGTGGTCAGCTGAAGCAAGATGACACATGTAAATCTTTTTCATAAATCAAAGTATAAGCTCGCAAATTCTCCATATAAATAGCCTCAGGAGGGGCTGCTCTGATGAAATTGAAAATGTCTCTTCCATATGTGCAGTTTTAGGCTTTATAACATTTAAAGAAAATATTCTAAAAGATAAAGTTGGCATGTAAAAGCACGGGGAAAGGAATCAGCAATGATCAGAGCAAAACAATTCTAGCAGGCATCTTAATTTTCATATGGCTCATTTGCATTTGAAACACTGTGAATTCCTATCTCACTTGTACAAAATGTGTACATATTAAATTACTTTGCACTTGAAAGAACATTTTCCTAAATGTTTGGAAGATGATCAAATTTTAACTGGAGGACTTGTTTTCTTCCATCAGGTGTGGGGGAGATGTGGCTTCCTGGTATGAGAGGCAACAGTTGATTCTAATAGCAGAACAAGACAAAAATAAGAAAGTAAACTGAAAACAATTCTTATTTGTACAATTTGATTTAAAGATGATAAGACAAGTGGATACTTATGGTACAAAGATGTCAAAATACATCAATTTTAAAATTAAGTAGGGTTACCTTTCCAAAAATTGAGATTTTCTGATACCTGAAAATTAGGTTCTATTACTTATTCTAGGATACCCATGGATATACTATCATTTATTTCAGTACACTTAATCTGATTATCTAGTCAATGTTTAAGAGGTAGATGCCCATCAGCTACTATACAATAATTTCAGGAGACTACACAATACCCATCTCAAAACAAATTTTTGTTTTTTGGACACCATTTCACTCTGTTTCAGCCTGTTGCGCAGGCTGGAGTGCAATGGTGCAATCTCAGCTCACTGCAACCTCTGCCTCCAGATTCAAGCGATTCTTGTGCCTCAGCCTCCCAAGTAGCTGAGATTACAGGCATGAGCGTCCATGCCCAGCTAATTTTTGTATTTTTGATAAGGACAGAGTTTCACCATGTTGGCCAGGCTGGTCTTGAACTCCTGACCTCAGGTGATCCACCTGCCTCAGCCTCCCAAAATGCTGGGATTACAGGCGTGGGCCACCCACCTGGCCTCAAATGTTTAATAGCTAGGATATTGGCAGAACAGCAAAGGCTTAAAACCTCTTTACTATCAACTTTAAACATTATTTAGTCTTAAGGAAACCACAATGAATGAAAATATTTTTTTCTGTAACATTTGTTTTCTGCCATGGTAAAATGTCTAGGATTCAGGTGTGTCTTCTGAAGGAAAACCAGAACTTGAAAGGCACCCCTGTCTTTCTCTTGGTCTGGCTCCCTGGGCACCTCACTTGAAGGAGAGAGCTGTTTAGAACTGGCCTCATGTGTGTGCTACAGGGGGGCCCACCATGCAAAGGTGAATAGGATGCAGTTTACAGAGGATGGAGAACATGGGCTGATCTCTGTAAATGAGCATCTCTAGGTACATGCTGCCCTTTGTGTTTCTTTCCTTTTGTTGCCTCTGGGCCTTTTGGAAGGCCTTGTTCACAGTCCCTGATCTGTATCAGCTGGGTTACAGGCATTGAACGAAAGGGTAGCACAGCTGTAAACCCAAGCAGAGAGCTGGAGCTGTGAAGGGAGAGCAGCACCCAACCCCCTCGAGGCAAGGCAAGGTCCGTGACAGATTCCCAGGGAGACAGTGACTAGGGGAACCAGGAGGCCAGCGGGGGCAGCTGACACTGTGCACCCTCCCAGGCCAGTGTTGGGGGGAATCCGGTGAGGTGTTTTTTTTTGTTTTTTGAGATGGAGTCTTGCTCTTGTTGCCCAGGCTGGAGTGCAGTGGCATGATATTGGCTCACTGCAACCTCTGCCTCCAGGGTCTAAGCGATTCTCCTGCCTCAGCCTCCCAAGTAGCTGGGATTACAGGCACCCACCACCACACCAGGCTAATTTTTGTATTTTTAATAGAGACGGGGTTTTGCCATGTTGGCCAGGCTGGTCTCGACCTCCTAACCGTGTGACCTGCCTGCCTCGGCCTCCCAAAGTGCTGGGATGTTTTTATTTATTTATTTTTTATTATTATTTTTGAGACAAAGTCTCGCTCTGTTGCCTAGGCTGGAGTGCAGTGGCACAATCTCAGCTTACTGCAACCTCCGCCTCCCAGGTTCAAGCAAGTCTCCTGCCTCAGTCTCCCAAGGAGCTGGGATTACAGGCGCCCGCCACCATGCCCGGCTAATTTTTGTATTTTTAGAAGAGACAGGGTTTTGTCATGTTGGCCAGGCTGGTCTCAAACTCCTGACTTCAAGTGATCTGCCCACCTCGGCCTCCCAAAGTGCTGGGATTACAGGCGAGAGCCACCGCGCCAGCTGAGATGTTTTTAATAGGAGAGTGTCCTTTTACACGCAATTCACACTGTCTTTCAGATTGCTGCCTCAGCAGTCTTTATTTATTTTTTGTTGTTATTTAAGTACAAGCTGCATTGGGCTTGATTTGCAAACATTTAATAGTAAAAGGTAAAATGGCCCATGTAATCAAAATATGGATACCTGGAGATTTTGGATACACAGAACTGATTTAACATTTCATCTTCTTGATTAGTTTGATTTTTCTCTCCCAACAAACTTCTATTTTAACTATGAAAAGGTTGGGAAAAGCCAACACTTTCTTGCTTTATGGAAAACATGCTAATGAGAAGACAGATGACTGAAAATTAGATTGAAGATGAAAGATTAAGCAAATGCAAACTGTGAAAATTGCTAGCCTCTGATAAATTGGAAATTACCAACTTGGTTTATTATTAGGCAATGTTCGTCTACTCATTTATTTTAATAATATTAAGGACCTTCTATGGGTCAGATACTGTTTTAGGGGCTGGGTTTACAAGGTGAGAAAAAGCCCTGAACCAAAACAAACCTATTTCCATGGAGTTTATGGTTTAACTTCAAAGTTTTCTGAAAGCAAGTGAAGGACAGTCACCTGATAAACCGCAGAATTAATATTTGTCATAAGAGTCACCGTACTGTTCTGCAATACTGGCCCATTGGATAGAATTTGTTTCCCAGATGTCTGGGTTTCATTCCTTTGTAGCTGGCAGATCTTGGTTTTGAGAAAAAGCCTAGGAAAGGCAGACTTAGGTGCCTGCCGTGGGTGAAAAGATGGAAGAGTCAAGTTACCTTTATTGCACATCTGGAGGCTACAGAAAGGCACTTGGATTCCTTTGCAATGCTGGCAAAACTCAGTCCTGTTGGAATCAGCGTTTGATTGTATGAAGTTGTTATATTACGGGTATACAATCTTGTGGGTGGTATATCCAATCAGAGCATCCAAACAGTTGTGTAACGATTTGATTCAAGTGTGTTTGGAATAAGGTTTTGTAATAATAATCTTGATATTTTCATAGTTCTATGGTTTTATTACATCAATTACCAATATTTATTAAGCTAGACAAATACAACTACACCAGTACAAACGAAAGGTCTTGGTGTCCACCTTGTCTCACTTTGAAAGGCAGACAAACAAAAACAAAAAAGGAATTCTTTTTATAGCACTTTAACTTTTGAGCGGAAGTACCTGCTGGTGTCTGCTGTTTCTTCCTTCATTACGCGCTTTTCTTTTAATTTGGTCCTCGTGAAAAGAATCAAAGTAGGAGCTCTCCAGGAGTTGGGAACAGGTTGATCTGTCATCTGGATTCATCTTCAGACACCCCTTTGGAGGAAGAGAATCACAAAGAAGATATTGAGAGAGGGGCTTATTTTGTTACCATGCCCACAAACTGAGTAATAACTTGTTAGGATAAATATGAGTTTAGAAAATCTTCAAGTTTGTGTATTATCAAGTAGTTGGAGCTTGTTAATAGGATTGCTCTTCTTTTTGCTACTTCAAGGTCTTTTGAGAGCAGAATGAATGGATGGTCAGTGTCTCTCTGAAAGAGGCCACCTGTAGATCTGGTGTTCCCACCAATGACATTGTAAAATCACTACTGAAAGCAAATTGTTTGCAGCAGTCTGCAGAGTGTAGTCCCTGGACTAAAAACATCAGTGTCGCAGGAACTTGCTAGAAACGCGAAGTCTTGGGTCCTACCCCCAGCCTGCCAAAGGGAATCGAAGCACTGGAGGTGCGGCCTGGCAGTTTGTGTTTGACAAGCTCTCTGGGTGATTCCGATGCCCATATGCTCAAGTTTGAGAACATCTGGGTTAAGGAGATGGCTGAGGAAGTGAGAACCTCAGTCATGAGAGTGAACCTAAAACAAGGAGAAATGAATGGACTATATATTCATATAAAAATAACTACAGGCAAAACAGAAAAGGTGACATTATGACCCTTCTATATTTGAGACCATTAGAAGCCTCTAGGTCGGCTTCTGAGAGTGGGGAGGAGTATCACAGCAGAGGGGTCTGTGGGGGTCCTGACACAAAGAGGTTTTCTCTGAGAAACACTGATACTCCAGCCAGACAGTGGGACTTTGCCCATCAATAAACACAGATTATGATCCATAAACGGTAGCTTTAAGCCAGACCTGGTGGCTCATGCCTGTAATCCTAGCACTTCAGGAGGCCAGAGGTCTAGACCAGAGTGGGTAACATAGTGAGACCCCAACTCTCCTACATTTGCATTTTTAAAAGGAGCAGCTTTACAATACCCAGGCACAGATGACCTGACAATTATTGCCTTCCATCCATAAGAGAGAAATAAGGCTCACCACCGTCACAAACATTGTTTTGAGACATTCTGAAGCCCAGACAATTGCATTGCCTGAGGCTGCCCCAGCCGGGCACTGCCCTGTGGTGTCTGTTCCTCCCTGACACCAGCTGACCTCAGATCTCTGAGATCCCTGAAGCTGCCTGCCCGTAAGCAGTAGCACCTGGCCCTTGGTGAGCGATCTGATTAGTCCTGTTCTTCAAGAAACAATCCTGCTCAGCAAAACTAGACTTACCTGTCCCTCCATGTCTACTGCCTGGTCCAAGCAAATGACCCCTAATTAATGACTCATGCCATATATCAGCTCCAGCTGCCGAAGCATTCTCCTCAAACCCTAATACTGTCAGGGCTATAACCAGGACAGAAAGACTTTTTTTTTGTTGTTTTTTTTGAGACAAAGTCTCGTTCTGGCTGTCAGCCAGGTTGGAATGCAGTGGCGCCACCTCGGCTAACTCCAAGCTCCGCCTCCCGGGTTTGAGCGATTCACATGCCTCAGCCTCCCAGATAGCTAGAATTACAGGCATGCACCACCATGCTGAGTACATTTTTGTATTTTTAGTAGAGACAGGTTTACCATGTTGGCCAGGCTGGTCTCAAACTCCTGACCTCAAGTAATCTGCCCGCCTTGGCCTCCCAGTGCTGGAGCTACAGGCGTGAGCCACTGCACCCTGCCAGAAAGACTATTTTGAATACAAACTGTGATAGTCTCTATTCTTTATCACTCAATTCTGGTTTTTGCTTTCACTGTTCCATTAAAGTGGCTCTCGTTATTAACACCTCTGACCTCTACTTCCATAGCCTTCAACCGATCATGTGTTTTGAATTCTGTCTCCTCAATAGTATTAGACACTACTGACCAAGCCCTCCTTGAAACTTTGTTTCTCTTTGGCTTCTCTAATCTCTCACTTTCCTTGCTCCTCCCTCCTGGCCACTCCTTTTCAAACCAGCCTTTGCTAGTTTACCTTCTTCTCCACTATGGCTGGATAAAGTTCCTCAAGGCCAAATCCTAGCCACCCCTTTTTTTCTCATCTATTCTTGGTTTCTAGGTGATCTCTTTGCTGCCGATGGCTTCAGTTATCAAAGTTTACCAGAGATTTCCACATCTACAATTCCATTCCAGACCTCCCCTAGGAACTCCAGACCTGCAGGCGCAACTGCTTACTTAACATCTGTCTCAAGGTCACTGTTGTCGGTTGAATTGTGTCACCGCAAAAATATATATGTTGAAGTTCTAACTCCCAGTACCTCAGAATGTTACCTTATTTGGAAATAAGGTCTTTGCAGAAGTAATTTGTGAAGACAAGGTCATAATGGCGTGGAGTAGACCCCCTAACCCAATTACAATTGGTTTCCTTATAAGAAGAGGGAAGATGGTGTAGACAGACACACAGAGTGAATGCCGTGCTATGACGGAGGCAGAAATTGGAGTTACATTGTCACAAGTCAGAGAATGCCTGGGGCTACCAGAAGCTGGAAGAGGCAAGGAAAGACCCTTGCCAAGAGTTTTCAGAGAAAGCCCGGACCTGCCAACACCTGAACAACCAATACAGGCACTGTATCCTTGCCACCTCTTCTACTTTATTCCCCATATATCAGTCATAATTAAGTCCTATCAGTTTTCCTTTCAAATATATCTTGAATTTATTCACGTTTAATTTAATTTAATTTTAGAGATGAGGTTTCACTGTCGCCCAGGCTAGAGTGCAGTGGCACAATCATGGCTCACTGTGGTCTTCAACTCCTGGGCTCAGGCAATCCTCCCGCCTTAGCCTCCCAAGTAGCTGGGACTAAAGGCAAGTGCCACCATTCCCGGATAATTTTTATTTATTTTTTGTGTTTTGTAGAGATAGGGTCTGACTTTGTCCAGGCTGGTCTCAAATGCCTGGGCTCGAGTGATCCTCCTGCCTTGGACTCCCAAAGTGCTAAGATTACAGGCATGAGCCACCATGCCCAGCCTCATTCACTCATTCATATTTTTATATGGGCTTTCAAAACTATTGAAATCTAGTCCATCACTAAATACCTATGAATTTTCATTTTAAAGAACATTTTTAGATTCTTAGAAGACACTACTAATGCTGAGCTCCCTCCATGGAGTCTGAGCGGGAACAATGTCCTGCTTGATTAGTTCTGAAGCACTAAGATGAACTGAGTAGAACTGAGGCTTCTGAGCCTTTGCCTGCCTGGATTAATAACTTTCTGTATATCAAGAAGCTGACGGATTAATCAGAGGTGTTCCCTGTAGACATGCTCCTAACCCAGAAAACGTCTTGAAGATGGGAGATGAGAAATCAAAACTGTAAAGTCCAAGTCAGGATCCTTTTCTTAAGTCCAAACTTCAAATTTCACAGAAAACGCTCCAATAAAATTTCTAATAGTCTATAGTCTCCTTCTTGATGACTAGCTTAAGCTGATATAGTGATAGGATAGTCATGACTATGGAAATAAATGAGTAATAAATAAGAAAGATTGTGCTCATGGTCTCATTTTAAACCTAATGAAGAGAACACAAGGGACCTGCCATAGATTGGCCACTGCACGCCACCGCTCTCCTTGACTCCGCCATTGCCCAATACGTCATCCACCTGAGCAGTTCCCTGCATAGGTTACGATTCGGTCCCATGGGATAAACACCAGTTATGGCAGCCAGTACTTATTTGCTGTTAAAGATGTCCTGGGCCGGGTACAGTGGCTCACGCTTGTAATCTCAGCACTTTGGGAGGCCGAGGTGAGTGGATCATGAGGTCAGGAGATGGAGACCATCCTAGCCAACATGATGAAACCCCGTCTCTATTAAAAATACAAAAATTAGCCCAGTGTGGTTGTGCGCGCCTGTAGTCCCAGCTACTCGGGAGACTGAGGCAGGAGAATCGCTCGAACCCAGTTGGCGGAGGTTGCAGTGAGCAGAGAACTCCAGCCTGGGAGACAGAGCAAGACTCTGTCTCAAAAAAAAAAAAAAAAAAAGGATGTCTCAACTGCAAAGAATTAAAGTGTTCTTTCATCTACCATGGGGCAGGAGTCTATAAGATAGGATGTGACCCATGTAATAGCACAATCCTTGATGCACTGAGAGGATTCTTGGGCCTTACGTTGATACTTATGGGTCTAAATAAAATAGTTGAGTAACAAACCTAGCTTCATCTAAAAGCTTAGGCAGCCAACCAGGGCTCTTCATCTTTGGAGATGAGGACGGGGAACTTGTCCTACATCTTGCAGTTTTCATGCCCCAGAGTTGCCTTCAAGGGAACCACAGGTCGTCTCTGGCTTCCATCTGAGAATTGGTTGGCCTTGCAGTGCTTGATGCCTCCCTTCTCCCTTGCAGGTTTCGCTAAATTGCAGGTGGGTCAGAACCACCTGTCAAGAACAAGGTCAGGGAATTGGGCTTCTAGGACAGGACCTGCTGAGTGCTGGATGAAGGCAGGTCTGGGCAGTAAGACAGGACAGATGGCAGCTAAGGTCAGGTGGAGCAATGGTATGGGGAGTCTGAGAGCACAGGGGTATCTGGCTCTGACTCTCAGGAGGACTCAGGTTGAAGCACTCCAGCACTCTGGATAGCACCATGGCAGTGATCAGCACTCCCACAAAGGCTGGTCTACAAAGTTGACTCTAGGTCATCCAAATGGCCCCACTGTCTAGATCAGATGAGTCTTAAACTGAGTTGTTTATCGTAATCACCTAAGGGCATGTTTAAAGATACACATGCCAAGGTCCCACTCATGAAAATTCTCCTTCTCAATCTGAGGCTAGATACCGGAATCCATATTTTTCAAAAGCTCCCAGGCCATTCAGATGAATAGCCACATTTGGAAGACACTGCTGTAGACAGAACTTAATTGACTGTTAAAGATAGATACCCTCTCCGGTATCCTCATACCCTTTGTCCAATGAGCTTTTGGTATATACAGTGGATGGCAGGGTCACACACCTTCTAGTGTGGCTTCATTTGGTCAAGCATGAATGGCAGACTAGGCAGAGGTAAGTTTCTTCTGCTTTTTATTTGAATCTGTCCTTGGTTTGACCATCTCTCTTAGGCCTAGTGCAGGAGCTAGGTCTGGTGTCTGCATGGCTCTGATTTTGCCTCATCTACTAATGTTAATAGATATGTTAGAACAATGACTGCTTTCACCACTGATGTCCCTTTAACTGGGATTATTTTACAGTTCTTTATCATTTTCAATGACTACATCCTATTTTGGCATTATTTAATCCACTGTCCACCCCTCCTCAAATTACCAGCTTCAGTCATTACAATTTATAGCTAATAAGAGTTATAATTGATTCTTAAGTACCTTCATGAAGTTCAGAGCCACAGGATGAGCATCTGAGAACTTTTCCTCAAGAGTTTCCTGAAAAACAAAGTTAAAACATTCAATATTACATAACAACAAAGTAATTTGTGTGTGTGTGTGTGTGTGTGTATGTATGTGTGTATTTACAGACAGGGTCTCCCTCTGTCTCTCAGGCTGCAGTGCAGTGGCATGATCATAGCTTACTCTAACCTTGAACTCCTGGGCTCAAGAGATTTTTCCACCTCAGCCTCCTGAGTATCTAGGACTATAGGTGGGTGCCACCACACCCAGCTAATTTTTAATTTTTTTGTAGAGATGGGGTCTTGCTATGTTGCATGAGCTGGTCTCAAACTTCTGGCCTCAAGTGATTCTTCTGCCTCAGTCTCCCAAAGTGCTGGGATTATAGGGGTGAGCAATCTCAACTGGCCTATATTTTGAATATATTAGTAATAACAACACTTTAAAGAAAGACCCTCTAGTAGGTTAGATAATTCATTTTAAATATATTTTTTAAAAATCATGCTTTTATATAATTGTACACTGTAAAGATCTGAAATACATAAAATGAAGTTATTTTCTTAATTTCACAATGTCTTGCAGTTGATGCTGGGTAAATGTGGGTCCCAAATGCTCCCATCTGAAATCCCACAACAGTGCCGTAAAATCTGTGCCTGATCTACTTCTAAGGATGTTTTCGAGTATTCACGAAAATACCTTGGACTACATGCATAAGAACACTACAGAAACCAAAAGAATGAAAAACACAACATTCAGAATGATGAGGAAGGAAGGGGATGGAGATGCCTGAAAGATAACGGTGGGAAACTTAAGACACTTAAATTTGTTGTAGTTTATTCTTTAAACACATGTTATATAAATATTCCTTTGTAACCTTTAACCTTGCAGTTCAACCTTTAACCTTGTATTACATTTGTTAAAGGTTTTCGCAAAGACAATAAAAAAGAAAACCAGTATATAAATCAAGATATTATATGAAATAATTGATTTAAAATGAACAGGGTGTCTAGAGATGGTTGGGACCATTTGGAGCTCAGGTTATTTGGACAGTTCACACCTATCACAGATCATGATCTGCCTTCTCAGAGTTTTTCCCATCCGCACATGGTTCTGACTCCAGCACAGCTGGAGTGTGGACACATGCTTTTCCTGGCAGTTTTTTCTTTTATAGGCAGATTCTGGACCATATGGAGCTTTAAAGAGCATAGCCTGAACTTAGGTAACACACACAGGAAGTCAATGTCTTCAGAGAGTAAGAGAGAGAGTCAAGTGGTCATTGATATGTTTTCAAATAAAGGCAAAGACCATTGCAAGAGTAGAGAGGTGATCCCTGTGATTTGGAGTTTAATGAGTACAGTGGGGATCATTTTGTAAAACAACCACCCGTGTAAAAATATATGTGGTGAAAAAAGCTTTTGATTGATTTGAGTTTTGTTTTACAAGCTGAAAAAATTTTTAAATGCATTTTTGTCAAAATGAATAAGACTACTATAAGTAGTCTTTATGAGAATATAACTATTTAAGGGAAAATCCTCCTAAGGCTTTGACCAATGGATTAAAAGTATGTCGTATCTAAGATACTAAATATACTTTCACTTTAAATTTAACATTCATTTTTGAATAGTTAAGACAAGTAAACATTTAAAGCATTTTTCCTGGCTCATTGTAATGTAGTTTTTATATAGTTTCTTCAATATGTGAGATATGGTTTGGCTCTGTGTCCCCACACAAATCTCATCTCAAATTATAACCCCCATGTGTTGAGAGAGGGAGGTGATTGGATCATGATGGGGGTTCCTCCATGCTGTTCTCATGATAGTAAGGGAGTTCTTACAAAATCCGATGGTTTCAAAAGTGGCAGTTTTCTCTTGTGCCCTCACCTCTCCTGCCGCCTTGTGAAGAAGGTGCCTGCTTCCCCTCCTGCCATGATTGTAAGTTTCCTGAGGCCTCCCCAGCCATGCAGGACTGTGAATCAATTTAACCTCTTTCCTTTATAAATTACCCAGTCTCAGGGAAGTTCTTTACAGCAGTGTGAAAACAGACTAATACACTGTGTCAATATGTCACAAGAAGCCAAAACCACAAATATTAAAAAAGAAACAGCTCGGGCATGCTGGCTCATATGAGTAATTCCAGCATTGGGGAGGCTGAGGTGGGAGGATCACTTGAGTCTCGGAGGTTGAGGCTGTAGTGAGCCATGACCTTGCCACTGCACTCCAGCCTTGGCGATAGAGTGAGATATCATCTCTAAATAAATAAATAAATAAGAAACAACTACCTCTTTAAAGAAAGCAGCAACACAAGTAATAAAATATTCAAGATAGAGCAGTTTACCATATCTTCTGGTTCAGGTATACTGATGCCGTGGAAAAACCGGTTACTTTTAAAGATTGATTGATGTCTTGGGATTAATTTTCCTGTAAAATACAAACCACATAATTCATCATAAATTTGGCAAAAAATAATCAAGTGTTTAAATGGTTAATGCGTGAAGGCCAGGTGTGGTGGCTCACACCTGTAATCCCAGCACTTTGAGAGGCCAAGGCAGGTGGATCACTTGATGTCAAGAGTTCGAGACCAGCCTGGTCAACATGGCGAAACCCCGTCTTTACTAAAAATACAAAAATTAGCCGGGCGTGGTGGTCAGTGCCTGTAATCCCAGCTACTCAGGAGGCTGAGGCAGGAGAATCGCTTGATCTTGGGAGGCAGAGGTTGCAGTGAGCTGAGATCATGGCACTGAACTCCAGCGTGGGCGACAGAGCAAGACTCCATCTCAAAACAAAAACAAAACAAACAAAAAAGACAAAAAACAGGTTTAATGCCTGAAGTGCAGGTGTGAAAGAAATATTGTGCCTGACTGGTCCCTCCAGAGATGAGAGGAATGGGATTCTGCAGACGTATGCCTTCTCAGGTAAGGGTAGTTCTCCCAAACCAGTCTCTTCGTCACATGTGGTCACCATTCAGCCTCCATCAAAAGGTGAAGACTGGGCGCGTTGGCTCACGCCTGTAGTCCCAGCACTTTGGGAGGCTGAGGGAGGTGGATCACAAGGTCAAGAGATCGAGACCATCCTGGCCAACATGGTGAAACCCTGTCTCTACTAAAAATACAAAAAATTAGCTGGGCGTGGTGGTGCACACACCTATAGTCCCAGCTACTTGGGAGGCCGAGGCAGGAGAATCGCTTGAATTTGGGAGGCAGAGGTTGCAGTGAGCCGAGATCGCACCACTGTACTCCAGCCTGGTGACAGAGTGACAGTCCATCTCAAAAAAAAAAAAAAAAAAAAAAAGACAAGGTGAGAGAATGGTACTACAGTCTTTACACACATTATCTCATTTACTCTCATAAATGAGATTTGATGAGACTTCATCTCATAATCTCAAGATAATAGTTGTTATTTATTTATTTTGAGACAGGGTCTCTCTCTGTTGCCAAAACTGGAGTGCAGTGGCACAATCATGGCTCACTTCAGCCTCGATCTCCCAGTCTCAAGCAATCCTTCACCTCAGCCTCCCGAGTAGCTGGGACTACAGGTATGCGCCATCATGTCCAGCCAATTTTTAAAATTTTTTTGTAGATATGGGGTCTGCCTATGTTGTCCAGGTTGGAGTAGTTGCTATTTTAAATCCCTATTGTTCCAATGAGGAAAATGAGGTTCAGAGAAGTGTAATAACTTGTCCAAGATCACACAGTAACCTAACAGATCCAGGATTTAAACTCAGATCTGTAATGCAAATTTCCAGAATCTTTTCAGGGAATGAATCAGACAAAGTGTGGCCGGTAGTGGTACTCTACCCCACATTTTTCATGCTGCAGAATTTTCCATAATACGTTGGAACTGAACAAGGATCTGTCCAGCAGCCATGCTGCCAGGAGAGCCCGTGGGAAGGAATTAACAAATTCTCATTTTATGTGTAGAGGTATCACTTTCTTTGCATCTATGCTGTTGGCATGAAGCTGTGGCTCACTTTTCAGGTTATGCTGACACATAATGAAAGTTCACGAAAGAAACCCTTGGAGTCCCATTCCTATTCTGCACTTACCTGGCTATGCAACTTCAGGCCAATCATGGAAGCTCCCCTAAGCCTCTGTTTCCTCATTTATAACATAGGCACAATTAAAAACATTGTAACTTCCTTAACAGGTTTTTCTTAAGACTGAAAAAGATGATGCGTATGAAAGTAATTTGTAAATTCTAAAGTACTATACAAAGAAGATGTGTTAACATTATTCGAAACTTCAGCAGCCACTCCTAATCAGGAAGTAAAATCAGACTCTTAAGCTCTCAGGCAGGGGTCCGCCAAACTATGGCCTGCAGGCCAAATCTGGCCTAGCGCCTGTTTCTGTACAGCTTGTGACCTCAGAATTGGTTTTACATTTTTAAGCAGATTTTTAAAAGTCAAAAAAGATTTTTTGATGTTTTGTTGCATGTGAAAACTAGAAGAAATTAAAATTTCTGTGTCCATAAAGTTCTATGGGAACACAGCTATGCTCATTTGTTGACATGCTGTGTATGGCTGCTTTTGCACTACAATAGCAGAGTTGGGGAACTGCAACAGAGACTGTACAGTCTGCATAACCTAAAATATTTACCATCTAGCTTTTTATGGAAACAATTTGCTGATTCCTGCTCTAGAATAAAGGGGGGAAACCTCTTTTACAGTGGACAGAAATTGCACTTGATCGAATATCTTACACTAGGCTCTCAGCAGCTGACTCATATCCTTATCCCTATCTTAGTCTGATATGGAAAGTAAATGTATAGTTTATTCCACGGCTAATTGACTTTTCCTGGAAAGGGGTCTGAGAGCTCCCTGAGAGGAGTTAGGGTTCTACATGTTTAGAAAAGGATTGGGCTTTGGCTACAACCCAGACCCCAGAGCAACCATCCTAAGTTTAAAGTTTGAAGAAGCAATAAAACTCTTGTTTTTTCTATTTATTTATTTGTGTATGTATGTATTTATTTATTGTAACATACGAATGCTATGAATGCTATAACAGTTCAGCACCTCTGTCGCCATAAAATGCAATTCATACCTAGTGTTCTGATTATCAGATAAAGTTGGTCCACATCTGATTTTCCAGGCCACAGTGGCTGGCCTGTCAGGAGCTCTGCAAAAACGCAACCAACAGCCAATATATCTACTGAAGAACCATACTGAGTATCTCCCACAAGAAGTTCAGGAGCTCGGTACCATCTCGTAGCTACATAATCGGTGTAGGCATCTCCTGGAACTGCAAATGCATCAGTCAGATCAGATAAGTCAATTCTCCCAACATGTGAACTGCTCCCAAGAACACATCAGGCATTCAGCCTTCAATAACCATCAGAGGCCATGATATTCTTAACAGTTAATGCAGTGAGGCACTAATTGAGGAAACAGTTACTGTGCATTGACATAGTAAATTTGACATTCAAGAGCACTTTAGGTAACTAACATCTATTATTACTCCAAACTGGGGCAGCGGGTGGTGTGGTGGTGATGAGGGGAATGAGAATCTCTGGAGTGTGACTTTAAGTCTAAACTGCCTTGTTGGTTTCCATTTTATCATCAGCATGGGGGTTGTTGTGCGTTGAATTGCGTCCCCTCAAAAGATAGGTTGAAGTTCTAATTCTTGGTACTGTGAATGTGACCTTATTTGGAAATAAGGTTTTTGCAGATGTAATTAATTAGTTAAGATGAGGTCATACTAGATTAGGGTGGACTCTAAATCCAATGTCTTGAATCCTTACAGGGACACAGAGACACGGAGAATGTCATGTGATACTGGAGGCAGAGACTGGAGTGATGCAGTTGCAAGCACAGGAATGCCAAGGTTTCCCACATCCACCAGCAGCTGGGATAGAGGCCGGGCGTGGTGGCTCACGCCTGTCATCCCAGCACTTTGGGAGGCCGAGGTGGGCAGATCACTTGAGGTCAGGAGTTAGAGACCAGCCTGGGCAACATGGCAAAACCCTGTCTTTACTAAAAATACAAACATTAGGCAGGCATGGTGGCGTGTGCTTGTCGTCCTAGCTACTTGGGAAGCTGAGGCAGGAGAATCACTTGAACTTGTGGAGGCTGCAGTGAGGCGTGATCGCGCCACTGCACTCCAGCCTGGGCGATAGAGTAAGACTCTGACTCACACATATACAAAAAAGAAGCTAGGCTAGAGACATGGAAGGGTCCTCTCCTAGAGCCTTCAGAGGGGATGTGGCTCTGCTGAAACCTTGATGGCAGATGTCTGGCCTCCAGAATTGTGAGAAAATAGATTTCTGTTGTTTTCAGCCACTCAGATTGTGGTAATGTATCATGGCAGCCCCAGGAAACTAATGTAGCACTAGACAATTGCATAAATTAATTTTTCTATCCAAATGTGTTACTTAGGACCCATGGTGACAAAGACCTCAATTTGACTCCTTGTACTATGTATATGAGTCCTCTGTGGTATGTGATAGACAGATGACAGAGAGCTGGGTGCACCCTCACTGCCCAGCCCTGCCCTATGCCACAGGTGTGGACTGCCTGGACCCAAGACACCTGCCTCCAAGTGGATGGAAGCCAATCCCAGAATCATCACATGACCCTGAACGATAAGGAGCCCTACAAATGCATTACAGAGGAGGAACAATTGGAAAGCAGCCCGGCTTGCAGAGATGAGGTAATGCGCAATTCTCCTTAGTAAAGTCGTTGGGTAGCCCCAAAGATGCTGCCACAAAAGGCAGCTCAGAAAATAGCGGCTGCAGCTCTGGTCAGAGAACAGTCCTCAGAGGAGTGGGAAAAGGAAATAATCTTACTTGCTCATTGCTCTTTTATAAAATTATATAAACTTTTAAAGGATAAAAATTAATAAATACTGTAATGGAAATTTGCAAAATGGAGAATAAGAAGGAAAATAACAACCACTAGCAACTGTCACTATTCACAGGCTATGTCAGCTGTTTTATTTGTTTGGAATATTTTTCAACTTGAAAGTCATATATGCTCACTGCAGAGAATATGAAAAAATACATAAGAAAACAGAAAGAAGGTAAATAAACCCAAGTTTTACCACCCAAAGGTACCTTGTGTTAATCTTTTGGTGTATTTCGTTTGAGTCTTTTTCTTATTTACAGCATAGTTTTGAGTGCTTTTGTGGAGGCAGGGTGATGCTGTCCCCCAGGCTAAAATGCAGTGAAACAATCATAGCTCACTGCAGCTTTGAACTCCTGGGCTCACGTGATCTTCCTGCCTCAGCCTCCTGAGTAGCTGGGACTATAGGGGCTTGAAACCATGCCTGGCTAATTTAAAAAAAAAAAAATTAAAACAAAATTTTTTTTTAATTTTTATAGATGGAGGTCTCACTACGTTGCTCAGGCCGGTACAAGTACTTTTGATCATACTACATATAAAATTTTGTGTCCTGATTTTTTTCATTGAATTCTATGCATTTATCATGTTATTATAAACTCTTCCTAAACTTGAGTTTAATGGCTGCGTAATAGCTTACCAAGTGCATATGCCAGGATTTACTTTACCTTCCCCAAATTGTCCAATATTTTGTCACTATAAATAACACCACATTATTTTTCAATAATCCCTGCACAAAACTTTTTCTGCATTTAGAATTATTTCAAGGCCCGGCACAGTAGCTGACGCCTATAACCTCAGCACTTTGGGAGGCCAAGGCAGGCGGATTGTGTGAGCTCAGGAGTTTGAGGCCAGCCAGAGCAACATGGTGAAATCTTGTCTCCACAAAAAATAAAAATAAAAAAAATCAGCCAGGCATAGTAGCATGCATCTGTGGTCCCAGCTACGTGGGAGGTTGAGGCAGGAGGATAACTTGAGCCTAGGAGGTTGAGGCTGCAGTGAGCTATGATCATATCACTGCCCTCCAGCCTGGGGCTACAGAGCGAGACTCCATCTCCAAAAAAAAGGAGCTGGGCTTGGTGGCTCATGCCTGTAATCTCGGCACTTTGGGAGGCTGAAGGGGATGGATCACTTGAGCCTAGGTATTAGAGACTAGCCTGGGCAAAATGGTGAAATCTCTCTCTCTTAAAAAAAAAAGAAAAAAAAAGAATTATTCCTTTAGAACGATTTTCTATGAGTGGAATTATTAGATTAAGAGGTGTAAACATCACTTATAAAATTATTACTATTATTATTATTATTATTTTTGAGAAGGAGTTTTGCTCTTGTTGCCCAGGCTGGAGTTAAATGGCACGATCTCAGCTCACCACAACCTCCAACTCCCGGGTACACGCGATTCTCCTGCCTCAGCCTCCCTAGTAGCTGGGATTACAGACATGCACCACCACGCCCAGCTAATTTTGTATTTTTAGTAGAGACGGGGTTTCTCCATGCGGGTCAGGCTGGTCTCGAACTCCTGACCTCAGGTGAATTGCCTGCCTTGGCCTCCCAAAGTGCTGGGATTACAGGCGTGGGCCACAGTGCCCATTTATAAAATTATTAAAGAAATTTATGTTCTTTGTAGAAAACTTGGAAAATACAAAAGAGCATAAAGAAGAAAATAAAACACCACCTACCACCCAGAGAGAAACCAAGTTAACCTGTGGAATAGAACTGGGATCAGTCTGTATGTGCGGCTATGTGTTCTTTTTCACTTAGCCCCATGTTGTGAGCTAGAGCATTTCTCATGTCTTTAAAATCCTTTAAAAATATATTTTTACAGTATTAAGTCAGATAAATTCTTTAGCCATTTCTGTATTTCTGAATGATTGGGTTCCTCTTAATTTTTTTCTCAGTAATAAATGGTTCTACAGTGAACATTATGTTGTATTATTTTGCGGGGTAGTATCTTGGATTATGAGAGATTCCTAAAAGTGAAATTAAAGATACAAAGGGCACTTACTGCTTTCTCAAGGATTTGTTCAAAATTGTGTTCCCACTAAAAACAATCTTGTGAGCTCTGTGTAATTATTGTTTGAAAAATCTGGCTGGGCACGGGGGCTCACACCTGTAATCCCAGCACTTTGGGAGGCTGAGGTGGGAGGATTGCTTGAGCCTTGGAGGTGGAGGTTTCAATGAGCTGAGATCACGCCACTGCACTCCAGCCTGGGTGACATAGTGAGATTCTGTCTCAAAAACAAACAAACAAACAAACAAACAAAAAATACTCTGCCAGCTTCATTGGTGAAGAGTAGTATTTTAATGTGCATTTATTTGATATCAGTGAAGATGAAGATTATTTCATGTTTTTAGCCTTTTCTTTCATCTGTGAACTGTCGATACCTTGCTAATTTTTCTACTCAGAGCTTTTGTGGTTTTTTTTTAAACCAATTTATATAAGCTCTTATCTATCAACCTATTACCAATTTTGAAATATTCTCTCCTTTGGTTATTGACTTTAAAATTTTTACCTCTCTGTGTATATCTATGCATCTATATATAGGAGGAGTTTACATTTATTTTGTGGTAAAATACACATAATATAACACTTACCACGTAACCATTTAAGATTGTACAATTCAGTGGCATGAAGTACATTCAGTGTTACGCAACCATCACCACCATGCACTTCCAAAATTTTCCCATCACCCCAGCCTGAAACTCTGTATCCTTTAAACAATAGCTTCCCATTCTCCCTTCCCCTAGTCCTGATAACCACTATTCTTTTTTCTGTCTCCATGAATTTGACTATTCTAGGTAGAGCATGTAAATAGAATCATATGATATTTGTCCTTTTCTGTCTGTCTTATTTCGCTTGGCTTAATGTTTTCAAGGTGCATCCATGTCGTAGCATATATCAGAATTTCATTTCTTTTTAAGATTGAGTAAGATTTCATTATATGTATATACTACATTTTGTTTATCCACTCATCCTTGATGGACATTTGGGTTGTTTCCACCTTTTGTCATTGTGAATAATCCTACTATAAGCATTGGCATACAAATATCTTCAAGTCCCTGCTGTCAGTTTTTTGGGGGTATGTACCTAGAAGTGGAATTGCTGGATCATACAGTGATTCTATGTTTAATTTTTTGAAGAACTGCCATACTGCTTTCCACAGCAGCTGCACCATGGTACATTCCCACTAGCAATGCATGAGGGCTTTAATTTCTTCACATCTTTACCAACACTTGTTATTTTGTTCTGTGTGTTTTTAAAAAATAAGAATCATCCTAATGGATGTGAAGTGGTATCTCATTGTGGTTTTGATTTGCCTATCCCTAATGATTACCTTAAGCATCTTTCATGTACTTATTGGCCATTTGTATATCTTTTTTTTTTACTTTTTATTTTTTACATTTTTA